TGTGAGCCCTGGGTTCAATCCCCAGTACTAGAAACACAAAACAAAATAAAGTAAAACAGAAATTTCTTATCTTACAATTGGGGAGATCAGAATTCTAAAACTGGTCTCACTGAGTTAAAAGCCCAAGGTTCAGCAGGGCTTTGGTCCCTCGCAGAGTCTGCTCCATGACTCCCCACTTCCTGTGGTGGCCTGCATCCCTTGGCTTTTGGCCACCTCCCCAGCAACGTGATGTTTCACATTCCTAATTCCCCAGCATCCTCTTTCATTAGAAGACACTTGGGATTATGCTGCTCCATCTAGAAAATCCTGGATAGGCTCTCCACCCTAAGCTCAGCAATGAAAAGCTGGGGAGATGGCTCAGTGGAATAAACGCTTCCCTGGCAAGCGCAAGGGCCTGAGCCTGAGTTCAATCCCCGGTTCTGGAAAAAAAAAAAAAAAAAAAAAAAATCTCATGCCAAGCTCAGCGACAGGCAATCTTTTTTCTACCTACGGCCTCCGCCTTTGTTCTCTCGGGTAAACACCTTCACAGATTCATTATTTACTACAATGTTCCAAACTGCTTTATGACTGCAAAAGAATTTCACAGTGGTTAAAACAAAGCACACTCACGCTTTATCTGAGAACTCAGAGAGGGTTTTGGTCATTGGGTGATGTGCTCAAGGGCTGGGCCACTCTCCCTCCACTCTGTTATATTTAGGATGTCATCTCCCGGGCAGGGTTTTTCTCCCTTCGTGGTCACAAGAGGGCTGCTGAAGCACCAGGCATCAAATCGAAGCCAAAGGAAGGCGACCAAGGTGCCTTCTCATGGGGCTTTCTTGGAGGAAGGAGAGGTGCCAGCGTGTCCATTACAGAATGGGCAGACCGACGGGTTAGCTACGGGGACTAAGTCAACCTGTATTTGCCGTCTGGAAAGTGCTTCCTGGGTGGGATCCTGTGGAGCGGGGCCAGGAGACGTGAGCAGCCAGAGGCAGGCTGGTCTCTGGCTGCGCTGGGCTCCGGGTGCACGTGTGCTGGGAGGCTGCAGCCACGGCCTTGGGCAGATCAGCTCAGCAGCGTGGGTCAGAGAGCAGCCTAGGACCTGACCCCGAGCAGCGCCTGCCCAGGGCCGGGGGCAACCAGCTGGGAGTGGGGGAGGAGCTGGGGTCCTGCTGATCGCCCTCCCCGCTCCCTCTCCCTCCCATCCCTCTCCCTGTGCTTGGGGTGACACTTGTGGCTTCCATATCCTTGGATTCAGCCAACCACTGTTTGAAAAAAAATATATATATATATATATTATCGATCGCATCTGAACCGGCTGTGGAAGACCCGCTGTTCCTCCCATGATTCTCTAAATACCGCAGTGTGACCAGCACGCGCTTCACATTTCCCTTGAGGCAGGTGCTACCAGGTGCACTGTGCAGGTGGCCTGCACACACTGTGCTGCTTCGTGCAAGGGCCCAGCGGGTCTGGGACTGTGGTTCCCCCCGGGGCCCGGGCCCAGCTCCCTGTGGCCCCTGTGGGTGACTCCCGAGTGGCAGATGCCTGGTGTGAAGCTGCAGGTCCGCAGGCTTTCCCGGCACACAGCTGGCCCAGGTTCAGGAGCGCGGCGTGGGAGTGGGGGCCAGAGGGACCATCAGGACAGTCTTGCCTTGACTGTCTTGTTTTGTTCTGCTCTGTCCTTTTTACAATAACCTCTTCTTTTACAGTAAAGTAACATTAAATGGAGAATGTCGTTATTTCCTTTAATTGTGGTTTAGATACACCTCCCCCACCGCCCACGGATCCGATGAGCGTGGTGCTCTGCGCAGACAGCGTTCTAGAGGCTCGTGCGTAGCGGCACGTTGGGTGCTTGAGATGGACACGACTGTGACTGTCATTCTCATTCTACAGATGAAAGTGTAAGCATAAAGAGGCTGCATGGTGGAGGCCTGGAGGGGTCGTGGAGAAACAGAAAGCAGAGGTGGGACCAGGTGCACCGGGTCGTTGGGGCCGCTGGGATGAAGGCCGCGGTGGCCAGTTTAGGCCACCAGGGGGCAGCAAAGACCAAGCAGCCGACGCGTCTGCGCTCCAGGCCGACTGTTGCCCGGCTGTCTGTCCCTCCTCGGCTTCTCTTAGTATCTTTCATCTGGAAGGAAGACGAGACCCTGAGTGGCCAAGAACCTTGCCCAGTTACACGGTGCAGAATCGACCGGGGCTGGCCCGAGAGAGCTGGAGCCCTTGCCGCTGCGACCTCGCTGCTCCGGGCCGCAGAGGGGACACGGGTGGGTGTCCGCGAGCGGCCCGGGGGCGTGGTTAGCAGGCAGGTTCAAGTCCCGGCCACCTGTCACCTCCGGCAAGTCCCCGGGGGCGTCACCCCCCTGCGGCCAGGCTCGGTGAGGTCAGGCCTCCCTGCCGCAGGGGCTCAAAAACTTGCTGGGGTTTTTGTTTTTTGCCATTTTGGTTTTTAATTAACTTTCGTGGGAAAATCATGTCAGAAAGGCTTATCAACAGGATGTCAAGGGAGGTACTGCTTTAAAAAAAAAAAAAAAATCATTTTGTGACTGCCCCCAGGGGCCAGGTGCTGGGGCGGGATGGGGTTTCCGGGGTTTTCACCTTTTCTCTTTAATGCCTTTAGATTTTTTTCTGAACTGGAGGTTTGCACATACCAATTTAAGAATCAGACAAATCCAATGAGCAGTTTTTTATTAAAAAAAAAAAAGTCAGAAAGGCTTATCAACAGGATGCTAAGGGAGGTACTGCTTCAAAAAACATTTATTTTGTGACTGTCCCCAGGGGCCGGGTGCTGGGGCCGGATACACTCGTTACTTCCGGGGCGCCTCATCTTTGAAAAAAGGGGGAGGGTGTGTGATAGTGCGGAGAGAGACCCCCAAAATCAATGCCTCTGGAGGTGTCAGTTGGGTCTTTCTGGAGGGCACTTGGGGTGCCACCAGTCTCCTCTGGGAATGCCACCCAGGTCTGCCCTCTGCCCACAGCGCTTCCCGTACCGCGCAGTGAGGGCTGCTGGGAGACCCCTGCCCCAATGTGTCACCCACGCACACCCACCTGCCTCCCACCAGGGTTGGGGCAGCTTGATTGCTCCTGGGTGCCCCACCAGCTCCCCCATCCATGTGGCTCTGGGAGTCAACTTTGGGTGCCATCTGTTCCTCTTGACCCCTCCTCTTCCATCTTTCCAGAACATTCCTCTCCTCTAGGCTGAGGCAATGGAAAATAGTATATGGGAAGAGTTGAAAAGTTAATCATTTTTAAATGTGTAAATGTTCATTGATTAAGTAAAATATTTAACTCTGTCATATATTTCACCGGCTGGAGGCTGCCTTGTGGAACCCATATGACATTTCTACTGTGGGCCATATCTGCTTTGTCCCTTCCAAAACAAATGCTGGTGCTTAATTCTCATCATGAGAGGCACGAGGAAGTTCAACTACCGTGTTTCAGGTGAGGCCTTTGGAAGGTCATCAGGTAAGACAAGGTCATCAGAGTGCCGCGCCTGTGACTGGACTCTGGTGGCTTTACGAGAACAGGGGCCAGAGGACTCTCACTTCCAGTCTCACACTGTCCGACACCCTGTGTCTCTTGGGGGCTCTGTCAGCAAGCGAGCCACCCACAAACGGTCTGCTCGGCCTTGTGCCGTGAGGCAAAATAAGCTTTTCTTCAGCATGTACCCAGTCGGTGGTATTCTGTCAGCGGCCACACGCAGTGGGGTGACACAGTGTCCATCTCAGCAAGAGGTTCAGTCAGATGGACACTCGTTTGTAGACATTCGTTTGTCTGCCCGCAAAACCCCTTCCAAAGATTGTTCTTGGAACCAATGTCCTTCCTCTCTCTTTTGCAGTCCCTTTCTGCAAATTGTCTTTTGCGGGGGGCGGCTCAGCCCGCATACCCTGAGCGTGTGGCTGGCGTGGCATGTGTGTAATGGGTTAAATGAATTTTGTGCTTTAACTGTGGAAAATTATTGGGAAAAACTTCGTGCTTCCTGCTATCTACTCTAAGGAGTGAGGTCTCACTCCCTGCTCAAGGCCATTTAGTAATGGGTAACTGTTTGTTGTCAAGGCAGCGAGCTGAAACAAACTCCCTCCCTAACCATCGCCTGTAAACATAGTCAGGTGAAGATGCATCTTATAAAAGTATGCCCTTATCACTAAGCTGTGACAGACCCTTTAGTTACAGTTTGCAGCTGTGCCAAATGAATGTAGTTTTCTATAGTTCTGCGCTAGATAACAAATTTACTTACCAAATTGGATGTGATTTCTGTTACAAATACCCCCCTGCTACCTATGTTTGCTTGCAGATCAGTCTTCTCCTGCAGAAGTGGCTGATGGCCCTGAGCTCAGTAAACAAAAGGCTCTATTCAAATTTCTATCTGGCTGATCTGGTTCCTATGCTGAGTGACCCATAACAATGTGGGGCTGAGGATTGAATCTTGGTCCCGCGTTTGCCTAAGCTTGCTTAAGCAGGTGCTTTAGACTGCTGAGCTGTCTAGCCGGCCCCTTCCTGAAAATTTGAAATAAAACTGGGATCTGTGCTATAATGGAAGTGTTGTTTGCCTTAACAATTGCCCCTCTGGGCAAAGCTACTCCACAAACCCTTGGATGGCGGCCTGAATGGCCAGCTCAGTTGCTGAGGAGTGACCAGAGGGAGGATCTCAGCAATCAGCCTGAGGATGGGGTTGGATGGGCCAAGAGCAAGCACAGGCAGTGGGAGCCGCAGGGAGCAGGCCAGTGGGGGGTGGAGAAGGCCCAGGGCCACAGCCAGGGCAAGAAATTCAGATTTCTCGGCTATCTATACCATTTCGCTCTTCCTTCCTGTACCTCTATAAGGAGGATGCCTAGGAGATGACGATGAGAGGAGGCCCATGGCGACAGCCTTCGAGGCAGAGAGCTTTGTCTTTCCTACATTATAAAGAAGAGGTAGGCAGACTGAATGGAGCAGCCCAGAGTGAGGTCGGGGCCTGGGGGCTCCTGACTAATCCAGAGACCAGTGTGTGGGAGGTCAAGGGCCAGACTGTAAGGAGATTTTTTAGAAAAGTAAAATGACCAAGGAAATTCCAAGGAATATCCTGGAGTGATCCCTCTTTGCCCTCAGATGGTGAAACCAGCTCACTGCAAGAGGGAGTCCAGGGTGACAGATAGCCACCAGGATCCTGACCAGCCAGCCACTGCTGTCAGGGGGAACATTAGTGCTCCTCCTCTGCAAGGTGCAGAGGGAGCCCTTTGGAAGGAGCACATCCGGGCCTGAGTTTTTCAGTGCCTCCTAGTTAGAGCTGTGTTAAGGTCGGAGGGCTGCGCTCACTTCTGCAGCCTATATCCTAAGACCCGGAGAATGATGGGAGACTCTTCACTCCGGCCACCTTGCGCCCCGACTTTATCTCCCCCACTTGCACCACAGTCCCTGGCTCCCTTCTCTGCAGCTGATCCTTCTGCACTTGGAGCCAAAGTCCCTGGACCTCAGGCAGGGCCAGGCCTCACCCTGCACCCGGAGCGCTGCGCGCTGCTCCTCCAGTTCATCTCCGCTTCTCCTCGCTTAAGCGTCACCTCCTCAGCGCCGCTCTGAGCTGTCCGCCCCACCGCCATCTCAGATCTCCACTTTTTTCATCGTAGATGATTCCAGCGAAGATCCTTGAGGTCCCCTGCCTGCCCCTGGAGCCCATCTCATCCCCGGATCTGCCTGGGACGCTGTGTATGAGCAACGACACTGCCAGGGGCACACACATGGCTGCGGGCCTGCCAGGACCTGCGGTGGGGCCTTGGCGGGGCCCCACGCCCCATCTCCTGGGTGTGCACTTCGTGAAGAGGTTCTCCTCCGAAGCAGCTGGAACAGCTGGAGAATTCTTTCCCTGGAAAGGAAAGACCTGCACCGAGTCCGACCAGCTGGCTCCCTCCTCTTGGCAGGCTAACTCTGCACATGTGCCCGGAGCCCTCCGTGGCGGCACTTCGCGAAAGGGCTGTCACCCACGCTGGTGACCTGTGTGTAACACACCTGTCTTGCTTGATACCCTTCCCTAACTTGTTCCCCACCCTTGGCAGGGGCTCTGGGATCACTTCTTCCGTCGATGTGACGTAGAGATAGAGACAAGGACAGGTAAGCAAGAACCCTTGGGTCAAGAATCGAGCAAAACGCCTTTATGGTCACCGGGTCTCCTCAAAGGCCCCCAGAGCCTTTGCAGAAGCAAGTCTGGCCCTGGCCTGTGTCCAGCCTCCTCTGCGTTGTAGTTTTGACCTCTCTTGCCAGTGGGCGGAGTCGGGTGCTCCTTAGGTCAAGATACCATGGCCCCTCAGCATAGACTCTCGTGTCATCCCAGGACCTGCACCTCCTGGCTGGGAGCGCTCCTCGCCAGCCTGTGGAGTGTACCTTTTCTTTTCTCTTCTTTCTCTCTCTTTCAGGCACCATCTTGTATTATATCCCAGGCTGCCCCCAACTCTCGGGGCTCTTCCCACCTTGGTCTTCTGTAAGCTGGGATTCCAGGTGTGTACACCATGTCGGCTTTCAATAAACCTCATTCCTGTGACTCCTTCTACGTGTCCTGTTCAGTTCTTTGTTCTGTGAACACCCGAACCTGGAAACCACTTCCCCGGGACCTCACATACCAGTTCACAAACCTCTTGGGCCCTGGTTCCTCTGGGTGTGAAGATTCCACTTAACAGCCTGGCACCAGGTTTAATACGCAAAAAATAAAAAGAACTTTTATGCATACAAAACACCAGCTGGGTCCTGTCCCACTCTCCCCAGCAGAGGCAAGCTGTGACACAGTCCTGGGACACGGGAAGCACCCTGCCCCACCCACATTTCCAGGCACCCTTGGCCTTGGGTCTGGGGCGGGCCTGGCCCGGCACCACTGTACCACGGGACACGCGCTGCTGCCTGCTGTCTCTATATGGCTGTCAACAGCAGCGTCCACTGAGAGGCCACAGGGAGCTGGGTCTGTGTGTTCAGGGTCTTCCTGGGCGCCCCCACCCGTCAGCCATGGGGAAGTCACTGTCCTGTTCTGGAAATCACACTTCATTCGTTGGCTCCTCTGCCACCAGCACTGCTCCAAGATCACCACACAAAGCAGGCGGAGGCCTCTGCACCCCAAGCGCCGTCTGAGACCCTTTCTGTCCACTGCCAAGGCCTCCCAACACCCCCTCTGCTGGCTGCTACTTTCTGGGCTCAACTTGCCATTGGATGAGATGGGGACAGCCAATGCCAGGCACACAGGAGACCGGGTGGACCAGACGTGCGCTGGGTGGGGACAGGTGCTGGGACACCCCAGTGAGGCAGGCAAACCTCCCATCCCTGAAGTGCCCCGGTGGGGGAGGGCCACCTGGAGCCCTTGGGTGAGCCCAGGCCAGCGCAGGGTGTGGCCCAAGCTGTGTCAGGTGAGGTCATCCTGCACTGCACAGGCCTTGGGAATCTGCCACCTCTCGGGGGAGGCACTGGCAGGCCCAGCGTCCTCAGGCGGACCTCAGCAGCAAGGCCTATAGCTAGGGTCCCTCACACTCAGGGTCCCTGTGGTAACCAGGCCCACCACTTTGGGGGTCAGGCTTGGGCTCTGCACATTGCTGGGGGCAGGCTGGAAGGACAGCGAGGACTTACCCTCCTCTGAGATGCCCATGGGTGCCAGGGAGGCTGGGTCAAGCCTGGCTTCCAGCAGAAGCTCAGCAGGGGTGGGCAAAGCCCCCGGGGGTACCGCTGGGAGTGAGGCCCCGTCACCACAACAGCAGTCACAGCAGGGGCTGGTCACAATGTGGGGCTGGCCCACCTCCTCCTGGCTGTGACACTGCTTCAGGTGGCCACACAGGTGGCAAGTGAGGGCAGAGTAGACTATGCCGCTGGTCAGGTCGTCCCTGTGAGGGTCAACGGCCTCCTGTGGGGGCAGTAGGGGCTTCTGCTTGTCCCCCTCTCTGACCTCTAGCCCCAGACTGAGGCCCTCTGGGGGGCTGCTTGGGAGGGGACCTTGGGGGCCAAGGGGCGGCCCCACATCTAGGCCAAAGGTGAAGAGGGGCTCAGGACCAGGGCACAGGTCCCCCGCGGAGCTGGTGGTGAGGCTCTGGAAGGGTTTGTAGGCCCCGTCTGCACTGCTGCCCCCGGGCCCTGCCATCGGGGCCCAGGTATCACTGTCGGGGTGTGCGCTCAAGGAGGCCTTGTACCCAGCCTCGCCTGGGGGGCCACCCTGCCTCACGGCCTGCACGAACTCCCGGTAGCCACTGCAGGAGGAGCCAGTGGGGGCTGCGGCGGTCCCATGCTGGAGGACATGCTGGCGCAGGATCTGCTCCCAGGTTGGTGGCTCAGAGGGCTGGGGACTGCCAGGGCTCGGGGGGTCCCCTTCCTGCAGGCGCTCAGCCCACTGGCCTTTGGGGGACGGCTCCCCGGGACTTGGGGTCTGGCTCTGAAGGTGGCTGAAGCTGCGGTAGGCGGGATTGTCCTCGATGACCAGGGGCAAAGGCTGCTTCTTGTCCCAGGGAGTGGGACACAGGGTCCAGGGCGTCTGAGCACTCGGGCTTCCGGGGCGCAGCGGAAGGCAGGGGCCCCCTGGGCTCGGCTGGCAAAAGTCCCCATCCTCAGCCCCCAGCAGGCCCAGGATCATGCTCTCGGTCAGCCGGGCCGCGATCCTCTCCCTGCCGTTGGCGAAGCTGCCCTGGCAGCTCTCCAGGGACGTGCACAAGTCCTCCTTGTCCCCTCTGTCCTCCTCTTCCTCCTCCACCTCTGCTGGAGCCTCAAGCAACTCCACACAGCGCACCACGCTGATGGTTTCTGGTAAGAGGACCGTCCTGCGGACCTCCACGGGGCACCACACAGGCCTCGTGGAGCCGGGGGTAGGCCTACTCCGGGTACCTTTCGGGAGATCGTCATTCTTTTCCACGCCGTGCTCCAGCAAACAGGGCAGGAGCTTGGTTAGACACGTCTTCCAGCGCCTGCAAGAGCAAAGCTTGGTCAGGGCTCAATATTGGCACTTGAAAAACTCTTACTCATCCTTCAAAGCCCAGTTTATAATCATGCTGTCCTGACAGTTATATATGGCAGATGCGGATCCTTATTCTATAATCAATAACCAATGAGCCTGGTCTCCTGAACTGAGACCTCTCTGAAGGACCTGTGGCTTTCTTCTGGATTTCTGGAGCCTAGCCCATGGCCTACCTAATGCAAACTGGGTCTACTGAAAAATGAAGTTTTTATCAAAGACAATGACATTTATTTTTTAAAATTTATTTGTGTGTGTGTATGTGTGTGTGTGTGTGTGTGTGTGTGTGTGTGTGTGGCCAGCTCAGCCCACCAGGGGGCGGGGCCGGCTGGCATGTGGTGCTGGGGGATTGAACCGCGGTCCCTGTGCTCTGCTAAGCTTGTTCTAAGTAGGTGCTTTAGACCACTGAGCCATTTCACCAGCCCCGACAATGACATTTAAATATAGCACCATGGCCTAAGGCATGACAGCATGGGTGAAGGGGTCCTAGGGTCGGGCAGGGGCTGGGCCATTGTGCCCAGTATAAACTGGCAGGCCCAGCAGGTGATCAGGGAGGGGCACAGTGGTGGTGAGATACCCAGATGCTTGGGACAGTGGGCGTACAATCTGATTGCTATCTGAGCAGCTGGCACGGCGGCCCTGGCTGCAAACAATCAGCTTTGTCTAGACTGCCGGGCACTGCCAGTGGGCTTGGAACATGCCTGACCAGCATGACTCAGGGGCCTCAGCCAGCAGCCAGCACTTCGCCCCCCTCATCACCCCAAGGCCGGGGATGAAGGGACTGTGGGCCCTGCCATCAGTTTCAGCCCTCTCCCAAGCCACACAGGCAAAGTCGTGATACATACGGGCATTTCTGGGGCTCCTGGCTCCGGGGCCGCTTCTCCCACGGTGACACCTGAAAAAAAAAAATAAATAAATAAAGGCCAGTGAAGTAGAGTGGAAGCCAGCCTGGTGACAGCAACTTCCAGGCAGCTTCTGTTACAGGAAGGCTGGTATGGCTCAAGGTTTACAGAGATCCCTCAAACTCTCTGGCCTCAGTTGTCTGGGAATTAACCAGAACAAGCCAACAATAACAACGTTGTGTGGCAGAAGTCAGCCCAGGACTCCGGGACTTGCTTTGATAACTGAGGGTGAACTCTGGAGCCTCAGGGGGTTTGGGGCTTTGCAGCTTCCTTCCCTCAACTCCCTTCACCAAGCAAACAAGCCTGCTAGAGGCAGCGGGGGTCGGCTCCTCACCCCCGTGAGTCAGGTGGTCCTGGGCCATGAATGCGGCCACCGTGCCTGGCCCGGCCTGGCCCCATCCAGCCTCGCCTCCCCCTGCACCCAGAGGGGCCAGGCTGCAGAGTAGGCGCCAACTAGGTGGTGGGTGCTGTTGCTCATGGGATCTAGGGATGGTTGTTACCTAGCAACAGCTAAAGGATAAAATGCACAGCACTCCGTCTATGCAAGGCTTCACGACCCACAGTGTCTTTGCACTATCTCAACTCACTCCTCACCAGTAAACACAGCACAAATGGGGAAACTGAGGCTTGGAGAGGCTCAGCAATCCATTCTGGTCTACACCCCAGGAAGCGGCGGGGCCGATGTCCAAGCCGCCTGCACCACCTGGCTCCAGAGTCAGCTCCAGTGCAATCTGGACAGAGTTCATGTCCCTTTCCCTCTGTCCTAGAGAGCCCTGGCACCTCTGATCCCAACCCAGCTCAAGAAAGTGACTGGCTTGTGGCTGCTCCCCAGGTGCCCACTGTGTCCTGGTAACCGAATTCTGAAAGCTCCTGAAAGGTCGCAGGCATACCCTCAGGTCCCTGGGACACAGGGACCACCCTTGGGCCCCAAGCTGTCTCACCTGGGGGTTCTGAATGACAATGGCCACCACAGGGCTGCAGGCTGGGTTGGGAATCTGGTCCCACCATGCTTTCTTAATCCTGAGAAACAAAGGGAACAGACAGTGGCCCCAGATGAGAGATATGCGCAAACACAGAGCACAGTCCTGGCCACAGATGCCAGGGACCAGGCTGGGCTGGGGGTCATGCTTCTGGGTCCCTGTCCTCATCCAGAGAAGGGGACTCTAGTGCTAATGTCATTCCAAAGAAGAGGACACAGAGGCCCGGAGAGGGGACGGGCAGGAGTGGAGGCAGAGCAGGTTCACACCTGGATTCTGCCACCTGGCTTGGAGCAGAAGGGGCTGCCACTGTCCCTAGGGAGCAAGGCTCCAGGGAACCAGGACAGCTGCAGAGCCAGGATCTGAGTCTTCTCCAGGAATCCCCAGGAAGAGGCCTGGGGAGCCACCGAGATGCAGCATCTCTTCCTGTAGCCACCTAGGCCACAGCACCCCTGGGCAGGACAGTCCACTACCACTCCTGAGGTTAGCCAGCACACTTACTTCTATGCTTGCTTATTGCAGAAGTAGTTTTTAACCCAGGCTGGCTGTCTGTACTGGGCTTCAGCACTTGTGCCCTCCCCGCTTTTGAGACACGATTTAACTGAATCGCAAAGTTGCCAAGACTTGGCTCAAACTTGTGATCCTCCTGCCTCAGCCTCCAAGTTCACAGGTTATAGGCCTGCTACATCTGGCTTCCCAGCCTGCGTCAGTTGAGCATCTAGTATGTTCTGTTCACTGTGCCAGGCTCCAGGGCCACAAGAGCGAACAGAAAGATGGAGACCCCCCACTCTTGTGGAGCTGACCTTTGAGGCAGGGTGGACAGGAGACGTGGACGTGGAAATGAGTGGCTGGCACCATGCTGACATGGTGGTGGATGCCATGAATAAAGAGGGAGACAACACAAGGGAGAGGGGTGTGCAGAGCAGGAGAGGAGAGTGCAGTGTGGGGCGGAGGCGGTGGGGAGGGTGGGGAAAGGGCTGGGGAGGCCCTGAGGGAGGGACATGCCTGGCACTTTTGGAGAATGGCCAGGAAGCCAGGTATGGTGGCCCAACAATCAGGAGGCTGAGGCAGGAGGATTGCACAAGTTTCAGTCCCATCCTGGGAACTTCTAGAGACCCATTTCAAAATTTCAGACTGCGGGGCTGGGGATATAGCTCCGCGGAAGGGCATCCCTGGGTCCAATCCTACTGGGGTGCAGTAGAGGGGGTGGGAGGAGACAGGCGGTAGAGAGCCAGAGGCTCAGAATGGCTCCTGTAGTTGAGGGAGACAGGAGCGGGGGGGGGGGGGGGTTCCCTGCAGACCCTTGAGGCCCTCAGGCATCCTCCCCCAGGCACCTCTGATCCCATCATGGAGGGAGGAACAGCAGGGACAGGGGACAGAGGTGTGGAGACTCCATGACTCAGGTCTGCTAGGACCTCTAGAAACAGGCTCTTCTGGCCCCTGCCCTCCCCGCCCCCACTGAGATCAGGTCCACCGCTACCCCAGGCCACCACAGCCAAAACCAGGCCTCCTCCCACACCACACACCCCAGGGCTGGGCCAGACTCTGGCCTCTAGGGTGACCAGGCCACAGGGGCCCCCTCCCCCTCCCCCTCCCCCCCGTCCCTCGGGCACCCGTGTTCCCCGCCAGCTGAGGCTCAAGCACCCCTCCTTGGAGCAGCCTGTCCTGGCCCCCAGCTAAAGAGCACCCCAAAACATCCCTTCCCTAATCGTGAATGTACATCCCTCAGCTGGGGCATCACTTCATGCCGCATGGGCTGCCGTGGGTGACAGATTGGGGGAACGTGGCCTGGCGCCCCAGCCATGGGTGAGGCAGACTCACTTGCTGACACTGCAGTAGCAGGACAGGCAGACGAGCGTGATGACCAAGCAGGTGACGATGACGCCAAGCTTGACGCGCTGCTCGAGGGGCTGCTCGTAGTCTGTGGGGAGGCGAGGGCAGCCATGAGCCGGTCTTGTGCGCTCCAGCACCCTCCTGCCACGGGGGCCCACCCTGTCCCACTCCCCCAAGCCCAGGGCGGGAGCAGCACCAAGGCCCAGCACTCCTGCTCCAGTGTGGCTGTGCGGCTCGAGGCTGGACTGTCACCCCTGGCCCAGCGACCTAGGACCACACCCTCGAGGGGTTAATGATGCTCAGCTCCTGGGCTGCCTTGGGCATCAGGCTCGGGGTGTCATGCTGTGCCTCCTCTTGCCCAGGACTTCCCTGCCGCCTTCTCCCATCGCCCCGCCCATCGCCCCGCCCCCCCAGCGCCCCTTACTTCCTGCCAATGGGCTCTAGCTGCTTCTTTATTTTTTCTCTCTGCCCACCAGAATGGCAGCTCCAAAGGGCAGGGATTTGTGATCCCCCGTGTCTGTTCACACAGGAGCAGCTCAATAAATATTCGTCGGAAATACATTCAGTTCCAACTCCAAAGCTGCCCCTCCCAGCCAGCTGGGGTCACTGCAGTCTTACACCACGGAGATTTCGGGCTTCCTCGTGCAGCGGAAGGCCGGCTCCATGCAGCTAGAGCCGCTTCCAGTACCACAGCCCGCGATCTACCCCGCGCAGTGCGCGACTCACAGTTCTTCCACTTGACGCTGGGGCTCCACTCACTCCAGGTGCTGCCGTCGAGCTGAGCGAGGGCCCTCACCCTGGCCACGTAGGAGGCCCCGGAGGTAAGCTGTCGGGCTTCGAGGTGGAACCTGCTTTCCTTGTAGGTCACGTTGTAGATTATATCCTGGTAGAGAAAGGAGTCGTCCATGCACAGCCGGGGCGAAGGAGCCATTCCTGCCGTAGCATCTGCCCTGCACTGATCCCACGAGACACCTGCCGGGGTACAGATGGGGCCGCCTCTGCCTCCGGGCCACCGTCTGCCACCTCTCCAGCTGTGACCAGAGTGGACGAGACGGCTCCCTGCTGACTTGCTGTGGCCCCACCTGGTGGGCTCTGTGAGCCTACTTCTCCCATCTGTAAAATGGAGGTCAGAGTCCTTACTGCCACTTTCTGGCTGTGTGACCTTCAGAAAACAGCATAACCTCTCTGGACCTCAGTGTCCTCTTCTGCAAAATGGGGATAAGGGACATAAGTGGCCGCTCCCAGGGCTGCTGTGGGGTTCTTGGGGTTCACCTAGGCACACAGCAGTCTCTCCGGAGTTCCTGCATGGCCCATGCATATACAGTTACATGAAGCGACCTTGTAAGGTCCAGACTCTTAGGCCTGATGATGCCGAAAAGGCTACCGGAAGGCATTCAGGGTAGCCTTCGGGCCTCCTGGTCACCAGCCTACAAGGACCTGGGTGCCACCAATGTCACAGGAACTCACATGACCCTGCAGCCCCTTCAGCCCTGTCCCCCTCTGCTGTGGAGGCTGAGTCAGAGCCCGGTGCAGCCCACAAAGACTGACGCCACAGGTGTGAGGCCACGAGGGTGGCCGTGGCAGTGCGAGGACACGGCAGCAGGAAGCACAGACAGCCACGGGGACGCCCCTTCGGGGGACAGCGGGCCTCCAGGCCTGGGTCTGCTCGGCCTCCCCTCCTCCGTCCTGGCACAGGGTGGCTGCAGTGTTCCCCAACTGGCAGGAGGACCTCAGGCCGGGCCCTTGAGCACCATGGGAAGATTTTACTTTATGTAAATATTACTTCTGAACTCACAACAAAGTTTGAAAAGCAAGCGCGAAGTGAAGGCTCGATCGTGACCTAGGGAGGGGCCCTGCGCAGGTACAGCCCGGGCAGCTGTCCCGTGAGGAGCTGGCAGTGGTCTCCTGGGCCTGTGGCCTGGTGCACAGAGTGTGGAGGGCACAGGCGCTGGGGTGCTGGGGAGGCCGGGCGGAGGGGTGCACAGGAGGGGGGAAGGCAGAGGGTCCCCCTCTTCCTCTCCGCACACGCGTGGGCAGGTGAGAAGCCACAGCCAGCAGGCTGCCACTCCCAGGGGAGCCCCTGGTTTGGCAGGGCAGTGTACCGTGAGCTCTCTTACCAGGGAACAAAACAGAAACCACCGTTTCCCAGGAATTATTTGTTAACAGGGAGGTAGTTCAGATCCTGGTTCAAAAAGCAGCCCCGCTGCTCTGAGGGGTGGGAACGTAGGCAGGCTGCTGCAGCCCTTGGGGCCCAAGTTTCCTCATCTCTTAGTAGACAAGGGAGAAATGGAAACCACCGTTGCTGCAGAGTTGAACTCACAGACCCAGCCAGACCCGAGTCTTCATTTCTCGTGTTCACTGTATACTCATAGCTCAGATTCTGTATCTCCACAACCTCAGATGTCCCATTATGTTTTTTAAAAACTCTAAACCTCTTCTCATGGAGTTCCCAGGGGGGATGAGCAGCTCCACCCTGAAAATTCCACCACAAATCACTAATATCTAGTCTTGGAAGTTGTCCACATCTGAGCCACAACTGGAACTTGCACTGAGCAGACCTTAGGCTGTGATTGGTTACAGAGGAGCATGTGACCAGCTCGGACGGGAGAATGAAGTTTCCAATTCCAGCTCTGTGATTGGAAGAGACATGGGGTGGGCGGTCCAGTGGCTTCTGCCCACAAATAGGAGATGCTGAACTTCAGCTCTCTGCCTCGGCCCTGGCCAATCGGAGCACTCCATCAGCCCTTGTCCTTCCTGCGGCATGGTTTGAAACTAAGCAGACGAAACACCAACACCAGGATTATTATTGGGACCTGGGACACAGGTCTGGAACTCCTAGAGGTCACTTTTTCCATTACACGAAGGGAGAGATTGCTTGAAAATGAAGCCCACACAGAACAAAATGGGGTCAGAAATTACTAGTGGCTCCACAGTGGTGTACATCTGAATTCCAGCCCTCAGGGAGGCTGAGGCAGTCAGCGCCAAGTCTGGGCCCAGCCTTGATAATTTTGTATGACCCTCAAAAGAAAAATAAAGCTGCGCCGGCCTCACACCTGGGGCATGGTGGCGTGGGCCTGTAATCGAGCGCTGGGGAAACTGAAACAGACTATGAGTCTGAGCTGCCTAGCGAGACCCTGTACCAAATACACTGGGAAAAAAGGGGGGGCTCAGGGTGGAGCTCAGCGTGAAGGCCTGCTGCGCTGGGACTGTTCCTCGCCGTGGTGGGGAGTGACCTTCACTTTGGGACTCAGGTCACTGAAGTGTGTGGCCCAAGTGTCACCTAGGAGCTCACATGTCCCCTCAGCAAGAATGTGACTTGCAGCTCTCTTCAGCTGACCAGTGGCATTGGATAGAAGTCTTGCTCAGTGCAATCTGGGAACTGGGCCCGGAGGTATGTAGCGCTGCCTTTCGGAGAGGCTGGCTGGCGGTGTGCCCACTCTGGCCATTGGCTCCCCACCCCATGCCCTCCAGGTCTGGCTCGGGGCCTCAGCATCTGCCAGCCCCACTTCTGGAGGTGGCAAGAATCCGCAGCCCACTCACGCTTTCTGGCTGGCTCTCGCTGGACACTTTGACCTGATGGGTGAGCCTGGTATGCAGGAAGTTCTCGCTCGGGTATTGGCTGCTCCAGGACAGAAGCCACCCACTCGAGACGTTGGAGCTGATGGAGAGGTTCACCGGGGCTCTGGGTCTCACTGCGGAGGGGAAAGTGCAGTGTGAGGAGCTGGTGGGGACACGCAGCCACCTGGTACCCCCGCAGCCACGGGGCCACGTGGATTGGAGCCCGTCTCCAAAAACAAAATTAAATGAAACTAAAAACTGGCTGGTTAAAGCGCCTGCTTAGGCAGACTCAGGGAACGGGGTTTGATTCCTGGCATGCTGTGCTGGACTCGCCCCCAGGGCGAGACTGGGGCATGATAGCACAGGCCTGTAATCCCAGCACTTGGGAGGCAGAAAACAGGAGGATCACTACGAGTCTGATCTGTGTAGTGAGACCCTGTAGACCCTGTAGACCTGGTACTAAATGCATTATAAAAAAAAAAAAAAAAAAAAAAAAAAAAACTGGCTGGGGATGTAGCTCAGGGTGAAGGCCACTGGCGGTACTGGTGCAAGAAGGCTGCACAGCACTTTAGGGTGTACTGGCTGTGTTGGTCCCGGGAAGGCAAAGGACACGGGCCAGTGTCACCCACTCCACTTGCCACCTCTGCTGCCCCCTGTGGCCACCTCTACACACCTCTTGGCTATTTCCTCAGTATCTGGCTTCAATTAGATTTGCCTGTTTAAAACTTGAGTCTCTTTCTAAACAGTTCCATGAGCTCACAATGATAGACGCATTCAGAGCAACGTACAAATGGAAAATTATGATTATTCTTTTGCGCTGTTGAAGATTGAGCCCGGGGTCTCGGGTGTGTAGGCCAGTTCTCTATCACTGAGGCCCAGATGCTAAAAAATTATTTTATTTATTTATTTATTTATTTATTTGTATTTTAGGGAAGGGTCTACAGGGTGTTCAGGGTCTCACTACTAGATCGGACTGGGAGTGATCCTCCTGTTTACAGCCTCCCGAGAGCTGGGATTACAGGCGTGTGCTACCATGCCCAGTCTCAACTGCCTTCTCAGCAAGCCCCATGGGCGGGGCCAGCTCGGCAGGCCCAGGGATTGAACCCCTGGCCCCTGCGCCTGCTTGCAGGTACTTTAATCTGCTGAGCTATTTGGCCCGCCTTTATTTATTTATTTATTTATTTATTTATTTATTGTCTCAGAGACTGGGTCTCGCTCTGCAGTTCAGGCTGGCCTTGAGCTCACCCTGTGGCCCAAGCTGGTCTCGAACTCACAACAATCCTCCTGCTGCAGCCTCCTGAGTGCTGGGATGACAGGCGCACACCACCACGTCTGGCCTCTAAAAATTATTTTAAAATTTTGCATAAATAAGATGCAACATATGGGGGCCTGGGAGATGGCTCAGTGGAATAAGGGCTTCCCTGGCAAACTCAGAGGCATGAGTTCAATCCCCAGTTCTGCAAAAAAAAAAAAAAAAGGCAATATATGTATACAGTGTTTCCCCTGGATGAACACAGTGATCACAAGCATAAGGTGATAAAAAAAAAATTCCTTCCCTAGAAAGACAACTGCAAACATAAAATAAAGTGTATTTAAGAGTCAGTCCCAGTCAACAACCAGTCGGCCGCCAGCGGTCCAACCAGGCCTTCAGGAGAGAAAACTGTTCTTCTGTGACCTAAAGCAGGTTATTCACCCCCAGGTCATTCAGCTGCCAAGCATGGATGGATAACAACTGTCCTTGGAAACTGTGAGGTTTCCAGAGAGGTTAATGTGATTTGCCCCGGATTCAACAGTAATAAATTTCTGATTTAAACTCCTGTTTGAGAAGACACTGGAGTGAAGTCTTGGAGGAACTGTTTCAGGGACTCCCGCGGGACAAGGTCAGCCCTGCAGGTCACAGCCATGTGGAGACAAAGACCAAGTGGCTCCCAGCTTATCTTTAGATCCCCAGAGGGCTGCAGCCAGCTTGTATGATTTCAACATGCCTTCCGGACACTGGGACAGTGACTTGCAGGGGCTCCAATCAGCTGAGCAGAAGGGGACCTGACGTGGGACCCAGCCCCACCCCGTTCCAAGATGCACGGACCACAGCCCTGAAAGGAGCCGGAAGCCCACCTGGCCCTGGGAAACAGAGGGACCTGAAATGCACCCGCCGGAAGCCCACCACTTGCCCTCACCGTGCTGGCTGGGCGTGAAGTTGCGACTCCACAGCAGCTGCGTCCCGGCCCACAGGTCCAGCTGGTAGGTGTCCACGATGGCCAGGAGCATCATGTTCATGTGACACACGCATGCTGCATCAGCGCTGTTCTCTGGGACACAGGTATGATTTCTGCAAACACAGGCAGGCTCAGGCTGGTCCCGAGGAGGAGGCCAATTTGAGCGCGGTGATCCGGAGCGGGCTTTCCGGACCACGTGCTCCCCTGACTCCCCTGATGTGAAGACCGGGTCTGGAGGCCTGAGGGCGGCTGGGGTGTGGCAAGGACAGGGACTGGGGTGGCCTTCCTCCCTGGCCCCTGCCATCCCAGCAGGGACCCTTCTCCTTTCCCCAGCTGCAGCCCTGTCCCGGGGCTTAGCTCATTGCTACAGTCTGGAAAGGGAGGCAATCTATGCATAAACGATCTGGACCTGCGTCCCCAGGGCCCTCCCTGCGGACGGCTTGCACCAGCACACGGTGGGCGGCAGCAGCCTTGACCTGCCACCCACAGGCACATGCCAGCCCAAGGTGCCCCCTTATCTGGAAGCCCCATGTCATAGAGTGCCAACTGTTTTCTGTAAGATCAGAAGGTCAATAGTTGGGGCTCTTAAGGTCACCCAGTGTTTGTCACGACTTCTCAGCTCTGCGGACTTAGCATCCCCCAAAAAAGCCCCGCGCTCTCTTCACAGGAAGGAGTATGGCCATGTGTTAATAAAATTTTGTTTACAAAAAGAGGTTACAGGCCAGAGAGGGCCAAGGGGCCAGGGTGCCTGTTGCTGGTCTACAATAACGTACGTGTCACAGCCCAGCTGAGAACCCCATGCAGCATGTTCGGGACAGCCCCATGCGCCCTGGAATCGCATAGCCCAGCACGCGAGCTGCGCGCATATGATGCTCCGAGGCCTCCTACTTCACAACGATCCTGTCACTAGCGTGTCACCCTCGTGGCCCTTCAGTGGTCTGGGCCAGTGGTTCTCACAGGTGTCAGGGGTCACTGGGTCAAGCTGTCTCCATAGTAACTCTCAAAGTTCTTTGCCTCTACATTTATCTTGCTCTGGAAGTTTCCAAGGCCACGTGACACAATGAGCCTTGTCCTGTGTGTCATGCTTGGGGTCTGACAAAGGAGCTGTAGGTGGGCCCACACTGCGGGATAAAGCTTCTCAGGTGCTAATAATGGACGTACCAAGGGGACCGTGGAGTTTGAGACCGCTGGTCTAGTGCCATATTCCAGCCAGATCCACTCGCCATGTGCAGTGACAGCGCTGTGTGCCCCCACGAGCCTGGCATGTGTGTCCCTGGCAGCCCCACTCCGTGCCCGGCCTGCCCTCGATCCCCACCCAGGCTTACTCTTCGTAGGGCTCCGGGTTGAACAGGAGCTTGTAGGACAGCCGCAGGGCAACGCTGCAGTCCACAGCATGGTCCAGCTGCCACTCGCAGGTGGAGAGGCTGAGGTAATCTGAGAAGCAGGTGGGCTTCCGCAGGACCTTCAGGCTGCCTGTGGGGACAGGGGATGCCTAAGCAGCCAGCAGGCCAGGGCCAGAAGACCCGGTGTCTCACAGGCAGCTGGAACCCATAGCCAGGGGCACTCGCATGCCCAAGGCAAGAGGGAAACCAGCCTTCCCGGGGCCAAGGATGCAGGCTGCCGGCCCCTGGGGAGGGTGGGGTTGCATGCTGCTTCCGCTTAGCTTAACTCTGCTCCAGGCCAATGCCAGGTGGGATGGTGCTAGGAGTCCACTTTGCACTGAGACCCCAGGCTCTAGGAGCAGGCACCTCTGCACCCTGGCCCCCAGGGGGTTTGCACAGTTGGAGAAGGAAAGGGCAGGGTGGGAGAGGGAGGCTTCCCCTTGCAACCTGCTCCAGGGCTTTGGGCACCTTCTTAAACCCTCCACCCACCCACCCACCCAGCACAGGGCTGATATTGATGCGTATTTGTCTGCAGGTGAAGGGCTTCCATGCGAAGGAGGGGTTCACAGGGCAAAGGAACATCCCCAAACAGTCTTGGGGCATCTTGACACCTCTTCCTCTCATAAGCCTGCTCCAATCTATCCCCATCACCTTCCCGATGGCCCTAGATGCTGTTCCCCTGGCCCACTCCTCCCTCGAGGTCCCCAGGCCTGCCCTGGTCCTTCTCACCCTGCAGCTGGGGGGGGGGGGCGGGGAGTTCGTCTCGTGACTGCGCACTCCTGGGCTCAGACCTCCTGGACTAGTGGCCCTGAGACTCCGCGGCCTCCTCCCTTCTCCCCGCCTCCTCTCCTGGCCCTTCCTGGTGCACAACTGGTGCTCAGCATGCCTCAGCCAGGAACACCTGCTCCCAGAGTTCTGCAGAGCCCAGAGTTACTGGCTAACTGGATCCAGGACTGGCCCTGCTGCCCGAGCTTCCCTTTCTCATTCATTGCTGACTTTTCCTGTCACTTTCAAAGATCATCAGAATGGACCTTGACCTATTATCCTCACACTTCTAGAACAATCCAGGTTTTCAATCTGAATGGAAGCCATTTAAAAACAAAACTACAGCCAGGACAACGAGCCATGGCTGCCCCTTCCCTCTTCCCACGAGGCTGAGGATCTCTGCTGTGCTCCCCATGGCCCCCTGTGCCCAGGACCCTGGCAGGACTCAGGAGAAGAGTGATGGGAGGGCGGAGACTCACCACAGCCCGCTGCCCACACCAGAAGCAGGCCGGTCACAGGGAGCAGGAGGCCTGAGCGAAGCCACCCCATGGGGAGACGCGAAGGCGCCTGCAGAGGGAAAGGAGAGTTTTAGTGCGGTGCTGCACAGCGTGGCCCCCCGGCCTCATGTCCCTGTGAACACGAGGCGTCACAGCGGCCAGAGGCCGAGCCACAGCTGCCCGTCCCGAGACATGCACACTTCCGTGTGCGCTTGTCCTGCCGACGCCGGGGCACGCAAGCAGCTGCGTCCCACACCTGCCCCACCACTTACAGCCCCGAACGCAGAGCAAGCTATGTTTGGTGCCTCGGTTTTCCTCTCTGTGAAGGGCCGCCTAACAACACCTCACTGAGGTGTTGTAGGTGTTACAGGAGCCCTCACAGTGACCAGACCACAGCAAAGCTCAAGGAAGTTTAGCAGCCTTTTTTTTTTTTTTTTTTTTGAGACAGGGTCTCACTATGCAGTTCACGCTGACCTTGAGCTCACTTTGTAGCCCTGGTTGGTCTCGAACTCCTGCCTCCGTGTCCTGAGTGCTGGGATTACAGGCGTGCACCAGCATGCCCAGATCAAGCAGTCATCTTAGGGCATGGGGCCATGGGACAGGCACCCCCTCGGCCCGGATCGAGGCTGAGAAGTGTGTTGCTCACCATAGCGAGGACCAGGAGTCTGCAGGGTGTCGCTGCACTGATGGCACCTGCTGCACGGCCTCGCACGGCTGAGGGCAAGCGAGCTCTCCAAGCTCTGCTGTAAGGACATGCGTCTCTTCCTAAGGGCACTGAGTCACCTCCCCACAGGCCCACCGCTTAACACTGTCACACCAAGATTCGGTGTCCTTGCAGAAATGGGAGGTCACATTCAGACCAGAGCACTGGCTACCAAGAGAAATGTTCGGGGCTGGGGCTGAGGCCCAGGGCTAGACAGCTCGCCGGGGGTGTCCTGGGTGTGAACCCCTGTACTGCAGAGAGACAGAGAGACAGAGAGGGAAAGAGAAAGAGAAAGAGACAGACACGGATACAAAGAGGGAAGCAGGAAGGGAGAGTAGAAAGCAGAACTCGGTGGAGCCCAAAGTATGCACATTTTTTTCCACCACTACTGGTATGCAATGTCAGTTTCCTTTAAATAGCAAGTGCTAGGGGCTGGTAAGATGGCTCAGTGGTCTAAAGCACCTACTTAGAACAAGCTTAGCAAAGCACAGGAACCGTGGTTCAATCCCCCAGCACCACATGCCAGCCAGCCCGCCCCCTGGTGGGCTGAACTGGACACACACACACACACACACACACGCATAAATAAATAAAAATTTAAAAATAAATAAATAAATAGCAAGTGCTGGCTGGGGAGATGATGGCTCAGTGGAATAAGCACTTCCCTGGCAAGTGCAAGGGCCTGAGTTCAATCCCTGGTACCACCAAAAAAAAAAACCCAAAAAACAAAAACAAAAACAAACCACACAACAGCAAGTGCTGGCATACATTCCTTAGGATGCCCAGAAAGCTCATTGCCCCTGGCATCCTTGCCCACGTTTCTACTTTGGGATCGCATTCCAAAAAACTGCCTAGGAGGCGGAGGCAGGAGAGTAGCACATTCAAGCCAGCTGGGAATCATAAGGGGACTCCATCTCAAAATAAAAAATTACAGGGGCCGGGGAGATGGTTCAGTGGAATAAGCGCTTCCCTGGCAAGCGCAAGGGCCTGAGTTCAATTCCCAGTTCCAAATAAATAAATAAATAAATAAATAGAAATCTTCTAGGCAGTCAGACAGGGCCAAGCCCTCAAGAAGACAAGATGGAAGATGAGATGACTTTGCAACTTTGGGAGAGACCCTGGATGCTCCTGTGGGCAGACCCAAGACCAAAGAGGAAACAAATGCTGCAGCATGCCTCCCCAAGGACCGCGTCTGGGATTGATATTCTAAATAGGTATCAGTCACCTTGAAAGAGCCCCCAAGAGTCACTAACCCAGCCCCAGCAGGAAGAGCCCCTGTCCTGGATTCCTGCCCGCTTGCTGTGTGACCTGCTTCCCCATTCCGTCCTGGATCCCACTGATTGTACCTGAGCACAGCGCTTGTAATTCACTGGCTGACCACAGCTTCGTCCCACCTCACGCCCACCCAAGCGAGTTCCCATGTTCTCCACCTTACACCTGCCTCACTGCATGCTTTTGCTCCTTAAAAAATCCCTGGAAGAGACAGTTTTCCTGGAGTTGCCCGCTCCGGCCCCTCTTCTGTTCCTCTCTTGGACAGAAGCTTTCTTTCTCCCTGTGAATATATTCTGCTCTAAACCTAAAATTCATTCTGCAGTTTTAGAGAACATGAACTCGCCCCAAGTACCTCTCGGGTTGGGATGTTCATTTCCCTCCACGAAGGGGACTCTGGAGACCCGGGAGCAAAGAAAAAAGGGTGCAGCGAGGAGGAGGAGCGTGGGGACTGGTGGCGGGCGCCAGGGCAGGATGAGGTGAGCTCAGGCTCGCTGGCAACCACGATTCCTGCCATGCTGGCGTCCAGAGGGACCTCACGGGAGGGCTCTGGTCGGCGCCAGCCCTGGACAGGGCCACACTGACAGTGCCAGCTTCTTCCTAGGACACTCAATCCCAGGTCATGTGTTCGCAGCCCTCGCCGGCTCAGCACTCAGGAAGCGGGCTCCACCAGGTCTGCCTGAGTACCCTGCCACTCTCCCACGGGAGAAACTCAGGCCACAGCCCTCAGGTAACTTGCCACGGGGGTGCCACGGCTGGCGAGAGCGCAGAGCGGAATCAGACCCCAGCTGCACCTCCTGAGGAGCCCACGGTTCCTTCTAATAGATTACATCCTTCAGGTCCTGAATGGAGAAGAACGGGCCACTCTGCTTGTCAGTTTCACGCATGAGTGGCCCATGTATGTCCAGGACCAGGACACCTGATTAAGCACCAGAAAAGGCAAGGGGACCTTACTGTCTGACAGGAGCCAGTACACAAACGACCAAGTCACCTGGGTCATATAAACAGGTCTAAGAGGCAGGACAAAGGAGGTAATGGTGCTCAGCCTACCATGAAAAGAGGGGCCAGGGAGATGGCTCAGTAGAATAAGCACTTCCCTGGCAAGCGCAAGGGCCTGAGTTCAATCCCCGGTTCCACCAAAAAAAAAAAAAAGGAAAGAAAAGAAAATTCTGTGTGGATAAAATGAGGAGAGCCTGACATCTGACATCCTGGAAGCCCTAGAAAGTCTTCACCTAGGGGCCAGGGAGATGGCTCAGTAGAATTAAGCGCTTCCCTGGCAAGCACAAGGGCCTGAGTTCAATAAATAAATAAAATTAAATTTAAAAAAAGAAACTCTTCCCCCTAAAAACTCTGCCCTCCTAGCCCTCACAGCCTCTTCACACACTTGACAAAAACAGAAGAATTCACTGTAGGCCAAGTTTTCTTCTACTTTTACAGATATCAGCTCACCTACTACTCAAAATAGCCTGTACCATTCCTTCCTCCATTTGCAGATAAGGGGACCAAGGCAGAGAGAGGTGAAGCATTTAGCTGAGGTGACCATGCTCTGAGAGGCCTAGGGGTTCAGCCCAGCCCTCAGGCTCCTGGTCTCTTCACCGCTAATTCTGCCTAGAAACTGAGTCCTCAGTGCTGTGGGTTTGCTGACCTCTCTGAGTATCTGATGCAAGCTAAACCCTCTTCCTGGCGACAGGTACACATTTAATTTTACGACCCATTTTGTAGGGTTCCTGGATTTCCCAGACTCTGGAGCAGAGGCCTCTCCCTGGGCATGCTATCGCGGGCCTTCTGAGCAGGAGAGTGGCAAAATTTTCCAAAAGCCCATTCTGAGCTTGGCATGGTGGCGCAGGCCTATAATCTCAGCACTCAGGAGGCTGAGGCAGGAGGATCACCCTGTTCCAGGCTAGTCTGGACTGCAAAGCAAGGCCCTTTCTCAACAAACCTAAAAACAAACCAACAAACAAAAGCCCATTCTAGGACTGAGAAAAGTTCTGGGAGTGGGGCACTCAGTGGGCGCTGCAGAGGGCCACCCCTCTGTCTTCCACGCTATGCCCAGAGTCATTTCCCAAGGGAGGGAAGGCCAGGCCCTGCCAAAGGTCCGAGCACCATGGCTTGCCTAAGAGGGTCTCCTCTAACTCAGAATGAAACCCAGCCCTGGTAAGAAGTGAGCACAAGCCTGAGGTCCAGTCCTTTTTGTTGTCATTGTTTGGAGACAGGGTCTCCTTATGCAGCTCTGGCTGGTGAGTTGTGCTCACTTTTGTCGCCCTCGGGCTGGCCTCAGACGCACAGCAATGCTCCTCTCTCAAGCTCCCACGTGCTGGGATTACAGTCGTGCAGCACCACACCTGGTTCCGGGGCCAGCACTGCGCACCTGGGGATCCAGGACCCACGCGGTGCACCTGGGGTTCTGGGGTGGGGAGGGCATCCAGCGCTGGGATCGAACTGTGGACCTCGCGCTTGCCGGGTAGGTGCTTATGCCTGTGAGCTATCTCCCCCGTCCCCAGAGGACCATTCTTGAAATCAGAGGTGTGGAAATGACACCACATGGCGGCGGGGTGGGGGTGGGGGTGGGGGATGCTGGGATTCAGGGAGGCAGAGGTAGGAAGGGGACTGCACGTGGCTCTGCAAGAGGGACAAGAAGACCTGTGCGGTGAGAGCGCTGTTCTACGGCATGGCTGCGGCGGTGCAGACACAAGGCTTGGCCCAAGAAATAAGACTGAACCCAGCTGGACACACATTGCACACAGGCAATCAGTTGGGGGAGCCTGGGGCAAGGCCTGGGAGTCCTTTCAAAGCCTGCACCCCCGCTCTGACTCCAAACCCCCGAGTCTACACTAGCAAACTGAAGCTTAGACAGAAGAGAATGCAAAAGCCACCCAAGCCCCGCTGACCTGACCTGCTGCCCTCTGGCCTGTCCTGCTGGCCCCTCTCCTGCCCACAGTCCCCAGGGCCCAGATGCCAACCCGCAGCCTCTCCCCTGAGGTGTCCCGCCTCCACGCAGCACACAGCGCCGTGTTCACGCGTTTCGGGTCTTGTCACTCTTAGCACAGCAGCCAGATTAGGCGTGCGGATTCTTATTTGATTTCAGGATGCAGATGGCA